AAGCAGGCTTCCCGCTGAGCAGGGAGCCCGATGCGGGGCTCGATCCCAGGACTCTGGGATCATGACCTGAGCTGAAGGCAGACGCTTAACCGCCTGAGCCACCCAGGCGCCCCGTTGCAATAGACTTTAACAGCTTTCTTACGGTGTCTTATCGTACGGGCAGTTTTAAACCTTGTTCAATCTCTAAACCGTGTTTTAGGCAAGGAGGTACTCTCATCTCTAATTGACTATGGAGAACAAAAGCCTCCAGAATTAAATAACTGGTCTACGGTCATCCGGTTAGAAATAGGCAAAGCCAAACTCTGAACTGTGGTTTTTATTATTTCAAAGACAGTGGCTGTCCTGTGCTTGCTTTGGTTGCTTGATAGGAACACAGTCACGGGTGAGTTCTGGGTGCCTGGAGAGGCCCCTCAAGGAGGATTTGTGAGGCATGAGGACATCCCGCCTTTCTACAGTGTTCTAGACTCAGCCCTGCCACTCCACTCACTCGGCTTCAGGCACAAAGCCTCTGGCACCCTGCTGTGGCCGAAGGCTAGGTCACAGAGAGAGACTGAGAGCAAGAGCAGAGGCAGGTCCAAACTGGTCTTTGTTGAGCCCTGCAGACACGCAGGGCTGAGGTCAGTGCCCAAGGACGAGGAGAGGAAGGACGGTCGCCGCTGTTCTGACCGTGCAGCCCGGCACACCAGGCCCCTGCATGCAACAGGCGGGCTCTCATGCCTTGCTCGCAGGACCATGCCACAGGGGTGAGGGTGTGTTTCTGAAGCTCTCCACAGGACACAAGGAGAAAACTGTGGGGACGCAGCCCGGGGGCGGCTCACTAGAAAAATGTGAGCAGGCATCCCCTTGGTGATTTCTATTAACTTGCAACAGGTTCACTCTCTGAGAGAAGTGAAAGATGTAAGGAGTGGTTGGCAACTGTCCTGATATGTCTGAGGAAAACAGATTATTTGCAAAGCCCGAGTCTCCTCCCTATCGTCAGTAATTTCATAAGACAAAAGCTTGAATTGTGCACAGAGCCAACTTTAAAAATGTCAGTTCCGAAGAGATAGCTCGCTCTGTCAGTCCCTGAGGAAGAAATCTGTGTTACTGTTCCCTCACTGCCCTGCCTCTGCGTGTGTGTGTGTGTGTGTGTTAGCGTGTGTACAAAATGCTGCGGAATGATTATATGACTCCTTTGGGCAAAGGTCTTTTTTCCACAGTCCCTCTTTTGTCTCTCAAGGCCTCATTGTCTACGTATTGTCCCTTTGTGGATGGAGGGTCAGCCGCTGCAGATAAAGTCCACCCAGAATCAAAGCCTTTAATGCATCACACATGCCATGTCCAAAAGACATCATCAGTCAAGGCCCTGAGAAGGAATGACCCAGAATGAATAAGAGGGGGTGGCTCTGCAACCTGAAGCCTCAAGAAGAAGAGGAGCTTATGTGTCTGTAGCCATTCAGAGATTGAAGATCCACCAGAAGCCAGAGGTAATCCATCTCCTTCACAGTTTATAAAATTATTTTGTGGCATAGAACGGGGAACCAGAGGTGGTACAACTCATTCAAAGATACCCAGATTTTGATATCTCTGGTGGTCTACACACATAAGAAATAGCAACTTAAATGTCTCTTCCTAATTGAGGCTTCTGAAAATATTCTTGACTTTAATAACTTTTCCACAGTTGAACCCGAGTCGGTTAAACAAGTCATGTCCTAATTCAAGGCCAGGGCTGACTTCGGGGATGTGCAGCCTAGGCAGTAGCCCCGGGCCCATGCTCCAAAGGGTCCCTTGTGGTTGCTGTCTTGAAATTCTTAAGAATGCTCTCTTTGAGCTTATGTTTTATAAGGGAAATAGGATGGGACAACGGAGCATGTGTGTGAACAGAGAAGTTCCACGCCATGTGCGAGTGAATGCTGTTCCTTGCGGCCTGATTTACAAATGGCATTTACAAACAGCCAAGCACTCCGGTGGACCCATGAGGCATGGCAGTTCAGTGACTCCAAGCAAGTACAGCATGTTGGGTCTGTGACTGGGTAAGAGGGGTCATTGACAACCCCTCTAGGCCATGCCTTCTGTTTAAACAAGAACTTGCTTCAGGCCCAGAGGAAGACAGTGGCTGTCTAATGAACACTAACGAGCAAGGAGCCCCATCACACCATTTTTTTTACTTGTGTTACTTTCTTGGATCGGCCAATGATACTGAAAACGATGACGTAGAAAGAAAGGAAAAGATAAGGCGATGGTTTCTTTTCCTTTCAGCCTTTCCCTACTCTTCAGTAAACTGAAAATAGAGTTGGTGGACCGTGTGCTATGAAAAGCTGAGTTCGTTTTGCGCAGTACACGTATGAGCTTCGAAATATGGCTTGTGTCATTCCGAGGGTGCTATATATGAGTTGAATGCTCCTCTATTTGCATTTAACACTGGTATTGCACTACATAAAGATGAATGGCAAATTTCATGCTAATCCTTTAAAATGTTGATTTTTCTTGATTTAGAATGACATTAAATAGCAAATAAAAAAGCCCAAATACAATGATAAGTCAAAAGGAGACCTCAGAAGAAAGGACAAACTTTATATTTTAATAGCTTTAAAGGCATTTTTTTCTCCTTTTATTTTTTTATGGAACACCTCACAAATTTGTGCATCATCTTGTGGCGCAGGGGCCGTGCTGATCTTCTCTGTATCGTCCCAATGTTAGTATGTGTATGTGCTGCCTAAGTGAGCACTCTCCTTTTTAGACAAGAAGCCCCACATTTTCATTCTGTAACGGACCCTGCAAATGATATAGCTGACCCTGCTCAAGGCCTCATAAGTGCACAGGACTGTCGTGCCTGCTGTCAATGTCCCCTTCAGGTGACAATGTCAGGAAGCAACAGCGCTCAAGAACTCAGCCTTCAAAGTGCAAGTAGCTGAAGCCACAAGGTGCACAGATGATAAGAAGGCTTCCCTGGAGTTGCTCTTTGGTCATAATTGCTCTGCAAGTTTGCTTCTCAGCAGGGGAGGCTTCCTGCCCCTGCCTGGAGCTTCGCGGGCTCCTAGCCCCGCCCCGCCCCTTCCCTGCCCCTTTCCCGCCCAGACGGTGTCACTGCAGAATGAACAGACCCTAAATAGAGCAAAGCAGGTTTGAAAACAATTATGAGTGAACGGAGTGGCAATATTTCCTTTTCAAGTAAATATGCGATAAAATCACCAAATATGGGTGTATCTATTCATAGAATATCACTTTAGGATTCTGGTGATCCCTTTGCTTAAAATAGTTAAAAATATAGTAAAACAGAAAGGTTCGCCCTGGAGACTCAAAAGTCATGTAAAACCACACAGGACCAGTGATCGGTATGTTTCATGTGGACATGGGGGTGAGAGGGGTCGGCAAAGGGCCAGGCACAGACCACTTTTGAAGATGGGATAGAGATGAGTGAGGCATCTGTTCTCAAAGTGCAGACTTTTAACCAAACAGAGCATGCCTGTCTCATCGATTATCACTGGGCAGCTGCGAGAATGTCACAGAAGTCCGGATACAGTTAAACTCACAATTGGGATTAAAGCAGGATTTACAGTGAACGGGGATTTAAAAAGTTTTCCCCCCAATTTCATGAAATACCAGTCTGGTATAATTTGGAAGGGAGGAAACAGAAAGAGCTTACTGATTTCACCTGGCAATTGTACATCCGTGCGCATCGTGGACGGGGCAGAAACTCCAGAGGACTGTCTATGCAAAGTCGGAGAAAGGAAGAAACCACTTCTTGGTTAAATCACGTGTGTTTTTCTTTTTTTCTAAAAGTGAGGACTAAGATGAGCCACTCTAAGATTACACCCAATGCTATCTTTACGTCCCATTTCATTTTAAACTCCTCTTGCTGGGCAGCTTCTCCGCATGCAGAGCCGGTCCACCACAGAGATGAATGTGTCTGGCTTATTGTTGGTAAAGCCCAGGCTAGTTGGAAACTATTTTGGGTTTCTCACTCAAATCAGATTTCAACTTTGATTTTTCAAAAGGTTAATAGGTTAGTCCAGCGGTCTGTTGTGTCAACAGGGCCCTAGAAAAAAATAATCATGAAAGCAATATCAAAAGGTCAAAAGGAAGAAATTGAAAATGTTGTAATAAAGAAATGATGGGGGGCGCCTGGGTGGCTCAGTCGTTAAGCGTCTGCCTTTGGCTCAGGTCATGATCCCAGAGTCCTGGGATCGAGCCCCGCATCGGGCTCCCTGCTCCGTGGGAAGCCTTCTTCTCCCTCTCCCACTCCCCCTGCTTGTGTTCCCTCTCTCGCTGTCTCTCTCTGTCAAATAAAAAAAAAAAAAAAGAAATGATGGAAGCCTGTTATGTGTGCATTTTAATTCAAATGCAGAAGCCTGACAAAGAAAATAAGACGATGTTGCTCAGCGTGCTTGCTGGGAGGGAGAAGTGACATGACACTAGCCCGGAGTGAGATGAATTTTAACAGCTCATGGTGGCCTAATGTTCCCTAAAGACTCTAGTGAGACAGGAGAAATATGAACGGAGGTAGGAAAGGAATGGAATCTCTGGTAACGAATTACTTTTTTTAGTGTGGGGTGAAGTTAATGCAATCACCATTAGCTGCTATAGAACACGCAAACAAATGGTACTTCAGCGCTGAAGAATTTGAATCTCTAAACTTCCTTTAGGGTGTAAGTGTGATTAATGTTCCATACACAGGGCAAATGGGAAAAGGTGGGGGACTACAGAAGGTAAAGCAGAGCTAGGACCAATTTCTTCTACTTGCTTCACACTGACCGTCCTGCGCTGGTTGTCAGTAGCGACACTGGGACTCACAAAAGCCACACGTTGCGTTGTGGGGGCCTCGGGGGAGGACAGAGCGTGAGGCGAGTTCTATATGCTGAGTCTCTGGGTGTGTGTGCACAGGTGGCCGGGGTGGG